TATTTGGTCTGAATCCCAATTTTTTGCCTTTTTAATGAGGAATTATTGATGTCCTTATAAAGAGGAAACCTCAAATTATATTTTAATAATGAGATTTCCCAGCTAAAAATAAACAATCTTTGCGAGCTCACTGGGAAAGTCTCAAAAATTTAAGATGTTTTTCCTCAAAATCAGTTTTTTTGTTGCTCTTGCTCAAAAAAGTGCTTAAAAATTTTGTTTTATGATTATATTTCAGGCAGAGGCAGTTCATTCAAATGATACATTGATAAGGCTTTTATTGATTATATTTTGACAAAATGCGATTTTTGTTAACATTTTAGTCAAAACACTATATTTGCCTTTTTCTCCTTTTACCACTTTTAGACTTAATCCTCGTTCCGATGTGATGGGTCACATATTGTGTTACTGCATTATACATATCCACATCTATCAAAGGGAGTCTTATTGTAAAGAGTAAGATAATGCTCCCTAATGATATTTATACGTTTATTAGTAATTAATAAATAGTGTACTGTTTAACACTTTACAATGATAAAAATATAAAAAAGACTCCCTATATATATGGGATGTATAATGCAGTAATACAGTACAATATTATATGTAAAATACATTTAAATACATGTTTCCAGTACATTATTGTGCTTACAAGATAGAAACCTGGTCTGAAATGTTGAATAAGCAMCTTTTAGATGTAAWATGAACCGATTTGGCTCACTATATGGCAAGAAACCAGACAGTTTTGTCTCTTTCTCCTCCTTAATGCATAATACACTTACTAATGATTTATTAAATGTTTACAGATGAATTAGTAACCCATCTATAAACTCTTTATAAGCCATCTGTAAGGGGAGCCTTAYTGTAAAGTGGTACCAAACTTTTCCCCTCTCTCTGTTGTGCAACACTTTATTATCACCTGAACGCAGCAGAAGACTTTACGGTTTAAACGAGCAGCTTTGAAAACTGCAGCTGATTCAGCAGAAACCTTGATGAGAGAAGGTGTAGGTTTCCTGTGATGCTGCCTCTGCAGGGTTTGGTTTTGGCAACAGTTGGAAGATAACACTGCTGGTGTTTTAATAAAAGTGGGTTTTTGGACACAGCTTCACTTCAGCAGGCCAAATGTGACTCATCGTTCTCCTCCGAGCAACTTTCAACCATTTTACTCATCTTAGTGTCCATTAGCTTAATGAGCTTTCTGTAAGAGTCTGCTGCAGACCTTCAGGTGCAACAATAACAAAAACAACATCTGATACTCTGAGAAATAAAACCTGAAATAACACATTAAGAAAACCTGTATGTTGGTCTGAATAAGTTCATGTTAGACCAGGGGTGGGCAGTCCTGGTCCTCGAGGGCCGCAGCCCT